CAGCCGCCATGCTGGTTCTGGCTCAGCATTGAAACAAGGTGGAGGCAGCACTTCCTGGCTCTGGGAAGCGAGTTCTAGAAGCTTCTGCCAATGGAGGAGGAGGAAAGCCTCCCCAGGCCCTGTAGAGGGAAGAAGGAATGGATGCACCCCCTGTCCATTGGGTTCCATGTTGGGGTCCAGAGTCTTTGCTTGGACAGCATGGGTCTGAGGCTCCTCTTGACCTGACCCTGACCAGACCCTGACCTGCTGTGGCCCTGACCCTCCCCTGAACCTTGAACCTGACTAGCTCCAGTTGAAACTCCCACCTCTAGACTTTAGGAACTTGAGTCCAGGCTAACACAGCTCAGAGCAGCCTTAAAACAGCCTGCCATGTGCCGTGTGCTGTCAGCTGTGTGCCATGTCCCATGTGCTGTCTGCCACCTGCCATTTGGTGCCTCATGGCTAGAGCATTCAGCATCTCAGTAGCTGCCATGGCTGCTCTTTGAAGCCAATGGAGTCCGGTCTGGCCACGGTCTCCAGCTGGGCTGAGGCTGAGTGTGTCATGGGGATCTGAGGCCTGACTTGGCAACTGTATGTCCCAGAGAGAAGATAAACGTCCCTTAGGCCTGGTTTATAAACATTCACCCAGTGACATGACGAGCAGAAAGAGAGAGACAGAGAGGACAGAGAGACAGAGACGAGAGAGAAAGCCCTTACACCTGCTGCTCACTCTACAGGCGGTCACAACAGCCAGGGTCGGTCTAGGCCATGGCCGGGTCCACCTATCTGGGGTGTGTGGCCCCAGCACCAGGGCCATAGTCTGCTGCTCTCTGAGGCCGTCAGCAGGGAGCGGGATGGGGAACAGCGTGGCGTGGCGGGAGAGGGTGTTCTCAGGGAAGGGAGGAGGGCTGGCTTTTCTTACCAGAAGGAGGCCTTGAATCACTATGAGGCCTTGTGGCTGGAACTGTAGTGGCAAGGCCACCCAGGGTACCTGGCTGCTGCCCAGCTCACGGGGCAGGGCAGGGAGGGGACCCTTCCCCCAACCCAGCCTATCCTTCCTCACACAGCCCCTCCCCTGCTGGAAGACAACCTTGACCTTGCCTTGGCCAGCCACTGCTGAGGCCACCATGTTCATGGCCACCCGGGGTGAGAACGAAAGGGTACAACACCCAGCCCACCTTGTTCCCCATGTAGCCACTATGTAGCTCCATTTTCCTGCCCCTTTTTTTTCCCTTCTGCTTGGGAGTTGGCCTGATCCCCTCAGCTCTTGGATGTCCCTACCAAGGAGTGCAGGTCACAAATACCACGGGGCCCCCTGCCCACAAGCTCTCCTGTGAGACTGCACTAGGAGCTGCACTGTGCTTCTCCACCTCATAGACAGACATGATGCAAACATATCCAAATGGCCCTGCCTGCTAAGTGGTGGGGCCGTGGGTGGTGGGGCTCCTGGGTGGCCCTGTGTCCACAGCTCCCTGAAGGTGGTGCTCAGCTTGGTTCCTCTCTTGGGTCAGAATGAGCATGGGAGACAGGGGTCCTGGGGCAGACTGGACACTGCCCAGCAAACATCCCTCCCTCAATCCTGAGAAGCCAAGACAAACATGCATTTTCAGCTCAGTTTGACAGGCAAGTGTGCGGCCATGGTGGTGGCCAGCTCACACTTGACACCCAGCTCACACGTGTGTGATCACCTGCAGGCAGGAGCAGCCCAGCCTCCTGGGAGTGTTACCCTGTGCCCCCAGAGGGGGATGCAGGGTGTTCTCTGTCAGGGTTGCCTGATACCAGGATTTGGGGGACTCAAACCAGCAGGGTTCCCCCCACCCTAGAACCCGCTGCCCCAGCCCCCAGAGCTGTGGAGCAGCTTTGGTACGGCCAGGGGTCACTTATCTGAGTAGACAGCGACAGACAGTCACGAGATGGGGACGGCCCCAGGGCCCAAAGTGGCCTGCTTATCTCCAGGCGCCGCAGCTCCCCGCTGGAAGGTGGTGGAATAGTTCTGTCTGTGTGACACCACCAGGCTGCAAGGGAGCACCCAGCCCCCACCTCAGCAGGAGCCCTAACTGCTGGGCCAAGTGTAGCTCTGCAGGAGCCCTAACTGCTGGGCCAAGTGTAGCTCTGTGCAAGCGTGCGGCTGCCTGTGTGCAAGCATGTGCATGCATAGCTGTGTGTGAATGTTCACAGCAGCCATGTGCTGCAAATGCCCTTACTCCACACTGTGTACTTGTGGATTTTAAAGTTTACAGAAAAATAGTTCAGTTTTTTTTTTAGATATGTTTATTTACTTGGGAGTCAGGATTACAGAAATGGAAGAAGAGGAAAAGATAGTTCATCTTTTTAAAATATTTATATTTAGTTTTATTGGAAAGGCAGATATACAAAGGGGAGGAGAGACAGAGAGGAAGATCTCCCGTCCGATGATTCACTCCCCAAGTGAGCGCAACAGCCAGAGCTGTGCCGATCTGAAGCCAGGAGGTAGAAACTTCCCCCAGGTCTTCCACGCGGGTGCAGGGTCCCAAGGCTTTGGGCCATCCTTGACTGCTTTCCCAGGCCACAAGCAGGGAGTTGGATGGGAAGTGGGGCTGCTGGGATTAGAACCAGCGCTCTTATGGGATCCCAGCGAGTTGAAGGTGAGGACTCTAGCCGCTAAGCCACTGCACTGGGCCCAAGACAGTTCATCTTGTTCACTCCCTAGATGGCCATGAGTTGGGCTGAAGCCTGGAGCCAGGAGCTTCTTCCAGGTCTCCCACATGCATGCAAGTGCCCACTGACTTGGATCATCCTCTGCTGCTTACCCAGGTGCAGGCAGGGACCTGGGTCAAAAGTGAAACAGCTGCGACTTGAACCATCCTGCACTGCTGGGCTCTCAGGGAGAAGGGGGCCAAGGCTGGAGCGCCCGCCACAGCCTGCCCCTCACAGTCACCCACCATCCCCATCCCCCTGTTCCTGTTCCATGGTGAGGACCCCAGAGGTTCCCCACCCAGAGCCACACTGCTCACTTTTGACCCTGGGCGGGACCTGTCAGGTGGCTTGCAGTGGACAGGGTAAGCAGTACTCATGGTGTCTCCTTGAAGCTGGTGCCTTGGGGTCCCAGAGAATGGGGGACAGAGACAGCCTACACTTCAGCATTCTTTTCTGGAGTCTTCCAGCCTGTGGTCCTGGTCCTGCATAAGGGCCTAGGGGGATCTCACCTGCAGCCCAAGTCCGACATAGGGCCTGGACCTGCCTGTGCCACCTCTCCATCCCACTGCCCCATCCTGCCTGTCGCCACCCCAGGACACCCCCAGGGTTGTGCAGGTCCCCCATTTTATCTGGGAGGCAAAGAGAGCACTCCACTCCAGGCTCACTCTCCAGATGTCCATAGGGCCAGGCCAGACATCTCCCAGTGGGTGGCAGGGACCCATCTTTCTGGCTTCTGTTGGCCCTGCCTTTGGGCTGTGCCCCTTCTGGGCTAGGGGGGAGGTGCCTCGTGGCCATACCTCCCTCAGCCCCCAGCACTTCCCCACTGTGAGTGGGAGGAGGAGGCTATGCTGACACCCCCATTTCAGGAAGGGCCTGGAATCCAGTCGGGCCCCTTAGACCCAGGCCCCTGACCCTACCTGTCCTACCCCCTGGAGCCTGGCTCCAGCCCCATCCCACCTACAGTGGGGCTGGCAGCAACGGCAGAAGCCCCAGGGCCCCTGCAGCCCCGTGGGAGGCTGGGATGCAGCTCTTTTGCTTTGGGCCGGCACCTTGCCTCCCCACCCCACAAGCTGGTGCTGGCATTTGAAGGGGGAGCTGGCCATGGGAGGGAGATGTCTCTATAAAATGACACATTAGAGTTCTCCTCAGGATCCTATTCTGCTCTGAGGAGACCCTGTGCGGAAGCAGGCCCTACTGGGCACACGGGGGGCGGGGGTAGGATGGGAGGACCAGGCCAGCAGGTGGCCGGAGCACCTACTGCTGAGGCACAGGAGGAGCCAATGTGGATTCATGGACAGGTCCTAATGGAATGCCAGGGCAGGCAGTAAGGCCTCTGCCCTCAGGACAAAGCTGCCTTGGAAGAATTTCCCACAGGTGAGGACAGAATCCTGGAACGTGGAACATGAGACTCTGATGACGGACGCTGTGGCCATCCCCCACACTGGACAAGGGAATGGCAAGCTGTTATGGGTCACGTAAGAAGCTTAGGGACCGGTTTGGTGGTGCTGCATGTTAATCTGCTGTTTGTGGTGCCAGTGTCTCAGAAAGGCACTGGCAGCTCCACATCCCACCCAGCGCCCTGCCAATGGCCTGGGGAAGCAGTGGAAGATGGTTTCAGCCCTTGGGCCCCTGCACCCACCTAGGAGATTGATGGCCTGGTCCAGCCCTGATTGATATGGGAACTTGGGTAGTGACTAAACCGATGGACAACCTATTCCCTCTGCCCTTCCAACATGTATGTTATTGTTTCAGGAAGATCTGTTTGTTGGATCAAGTGTTTGGAGCCCTTAGTTTGGCGAGTGTTGGTGCACCTGTGTGGCCTGGCTGGCCAATGGCTGAGCAGGGTCAGCGGACTGCAGTGTCCGCTGCAAGGTGGACGGCCTTTCATCCCAGAGCCTGGAGCTGCTCCTTGCGGGCTCTGCCCTGGGGGTAGGAGCAGGGTGAGAAAGCCAGCGTCCCCAGGGGGCGGGGCCGTCCCTAGCAGGTGTTTGGGCCTGGGGCACTGTCTGCGGGGCTCGGTCTCTAACTTCACAGTGCTCCAGGCCTCCGTGAGCACAGCCCCCGACCCAGGGAGACGTCCGCTTGGCCCGGGCAGGCAGCCCGGAGCCGTGGCGCCAGGGCGGAGGGGGCTGGGCGCAGTGCCGGCCGGAGCAGCCGCGGCGGCGCGGGGCGGGCGCGGAGCCCTGGGGCCGGGGCGGGGCCTGCGGGAAGTCGCCCCGCCCCGCACAAACTTTTCCGGGGCCGGTGGGGGCGGGCAGGTGCGTCACGTGGCCGGCGGGGCGGACCCCGCCCCAGCGCGCGAGCCCCCGCCCCTGCGCGCGAGCCCCGGGCGGCGGCGGCGGGAGCGGCGGCGTCGGCGGAGCGGCGGAGCCATGCCCACCAGCTTCACGGTGGTGCCCGTGGAGGGCAGTGCCGACGGCGGGGACGCAGCGGCCGAGCGCGCCGACGCGCCCGGGGACCCCGACGGCCCCGGACCCGACGGCTGCAGCCCGGGTGAGCGCGCGCACCTGCCGCCCGGACAAAGGCGGAGGCCGGACGCGGCGGCCGGGAAGGAAGCGGCGGTCGGGGCCGAGGGGGCGAGCCCAACGGGATGCGGAGCGCCTCTTGCCCGCCGGGCCCCGCGCCCACTGCGCCTGCACCCGAGTTAGTCCGAAGGACAGGGGGCTGCGGCAGGGGAACCTCGGGCGCCCCCGCACACACACTGCCTCACTTGCTTGGTGGGCAAGTGGGGGCGGAAACAAGTTCTAACTCCGGGGTGGGACCGGGAGGGGGTGTGACGTTGCCATGGGAATGGCCGGGCATGCGGGTCCCAGCTGGAGACCCCGGCTGTGGGGAGGGGTGGCGGGCAGCCCCCACGGGGGGCGGGGGGGGTCTCTGGTCCAGCTCCGCCTGTCCCTGACCTTGGGCCTCGCAGACCTCCAGGAGAGGGCGCGGCCCCGCCCCGTCTGGGCAGCCATCCACACTTTCACTTTCTCTGGAGTGGGGTGGGGTCTGGGTGGGCTGGGGGTTCCCAGCCTGCTCCCTCTGCCCCGGTTGGGGGTCCAGTGCCCCTTGCCGTGGGAGGGTCTCCTTGGGCCTCTGCCTGACCAGGCCTGGGGCTGTGGACCCCAGGTCGCTGCTCCTGGGCAAAGGACAGGTGGGCTGGAGACGGGGGTGGGTCCTTCCTGGGACCAGGGGCTCCGGTGTGCAGGGGCGTCTTGGCCTTTGCCCCCACCCGTGTTCCAGCATCCTTTCTGGCAGGAGCCTCTCAGGCCTCCAGAGGGTGCAGCTGCTCCTACACACCCTGACCCCCCCCTCAGCACTTCCTCTTCCTCTCAGCTACTTCTCTTGTCCTCCCAGCCCTCATGCTGCCTGCCCAGGAGGCCGCTTCCCACAGGCCCAGCAAGTGCAAGGCAGGTGGTTGGGGGCCATCCTGTGCCTGGCCTGCTGGCCCCAGTTTGGGTGCTTCCCTCAGGATCTCAGAGCAGCCAGGTGTGCCATGGCCCAGCAGTGGCTTTGGTCGGGCTCTGGGCTTTTTAGAAGGCTAGGGTTGGGATGCTGTCTCCTCCTAGTCCCTGGCAGACACTGGTGGCTCCTTGTCCCCAGAGGAGGACCCTGGGAGCCAGGGAGCCCAGGCTGGGGTCCCTCAGGTCGAGTGAGACCTGACTGGTGGTCCAGTGGCCTGAACACCTGGGGAGTCTCCTGCAGCTTCCCTCGCTGACCCAGCCAGGGCGGGCCAAGGGCTCTGGCACTGCACAGTGGGCGGGGCCTGAGCTGCTGTCCACCCTGGGGCAGGTCAGTTGAGTAGGGCGGGCAGGGCTCCCTGCCAGCATTGGCCCAGGGCTGCTTCCCCATCCCCGTGTCCCCGGATGATAGGACCTGGGGGAGGCATGAGCTGAGCCCCGGAGTGATGGGGTCTGGGTGTGGGGTGGGAGGTGTCCTGGCTGGGCCTGACTGACCCACGAGGGGTGCGTGCCCTGGCTGGCAGCTGTTGGCAGTCCCAACCCTCTTATGGGGCTTCCTCTTGGAGCCCAGGGCCATGGGCAGGGAGGGGTGGTGATGTCCGTGGAGGGGGGACAGGAAGTTGCAGTGGGGGCTATGGCCCTGTCCTTGAAGGTGGCCTTGAGTCATGGTGTCACATGGGGACTGTGGTGTGATGTGTGGGCCCCAGGTCCTGTGACTGAATCCCATGTTTAAAGACGTGGGACATGGGGGCTGCTGGGAGCTTGGGCTGAATTGTCTCCCTAGACTGTGGGAATCCCAGGTTGTTCCTATGTGAAGCCCTCACATATATGTGTGTGTGCATGGCGGGGGAGAGCTGGCCGTTTGCAGTAGGGAGAGGGTGCTCCGGTCCATCTGGGGGCAGCTGACCCAGCCCGTCCTGGAGCATTTTGGGTAGTGAGCAGCCACCAGGCCCAGGTCTCTGCTCTTCCTAGCCTGCAGCTCTGGTCAGTGTGAGGAGCCCTGGACCCAGCTCTGGGGGTTTCCTCTTCTGGAATATTCCCAGGTTCCTGATGCTCACACTGAGTGCCTGGGACAGTCACCACAGGGCAGGTTCCTGATGCTCACACTGAGTGCCTGGGACAGTCACCACAGGGCAGGACTCCTTGAGGCCCAGATATGAAGTCTTTGCTAGTGTTGCTTCGGGAAGGCTGCCAGGGCCCATGGGGAGGGGTCATGCCTGGGGGCTTCTTGCTGGAGACCCCAAGAGATTGGGAGCCGCATAGGGGGTGTGTCCCTGCCACAGTGAACCCTACAGGCAACAGGGTCTAAGAGGCCTAGACTGGGATGTGCCCAGGCTCTGGATTGACTCCCAGGGAGCTGTGCCCAGGTTCGAGGCTCCTGGTCCCAGAGCCACCTTCCCCCACTGCTGTCCCCAACCCCACATTCCTGGGTTGGGAGTGGTGTCGCCTCCCTCACCCTTTGTGTCCAGTTGGGAAGTGTGAGTCCTGGCTGCTGGGTGAAGGTCACTGTCCCAGGCTAAGAATTAACCAGAGCCCATGGCAGTGCTGGTCATGACCTCTGGGCTCCCACTACAGGTGGGGGCACCAGTAGGGCGGGCTGGGCCAGGCAGGCACCTGGGAACAACTCCTCAGGTCCCCAGAGAAGGATATCTGACCTGCAGAGGGCAGTGGCTTCTGTCTCCTCCCTGCCTGTGGCTGGATGGGTCGGGGATAGCCTGAGCGGGGGCAGGGCGTGCCTGCCTCCCTGTGCAAGGGGCTGGGTCTGGGGACCCCTTCCTGTACCCCTGCTCATAGTGTCCCCAGTTGGGGACCGGCCGTGCTCGTGTGTGCTGGCCCAGGGACCGGCTGTGCTTGTGTGTGCTGGCCTGGGGACTAACTGTGCATGTGTGTGCTGGCCCAGGGACCGGCTATACTCGTGTGTGCCGGCCCGGGGACCGGCTGTGCTCGTGTGTGCTGGCCTGGGGACTAACTGTGCTCGTGTGTGCCGGCCTGGGGACTGGCCGTGCTCGTGTGTGCCGGCCCGGGGACCAGCCATGCCCGTGTGTGCCGGCCTGGGGACTAACTGTGCATGTGTGTGCCGGCCCGGGGACCAGCCATGCCCGTGTGTGCCGGCCTAGGGACCGGCTGTGCTCTTGTGTGCCGGCCCGGGGACCGGCTGTGCATGTGTGTGTCGGCCTGGGGACCAGCCATCCCCGTGTGTGCCGGCCTGGGGACTAACTGCTTGTCTGTGGTGGGCCTGTGGGTAAATATGTACATGCTTGGTTAGGTGCTAACTGTTGGCACCTGGTGAAGCCCGCAGTCACTGTGTCCTGCCACCCACGGGGATGGAACTCCTGGCTCCTGACTTCTGCAACCCCACTGTTGTGGGCACAAGAGCCAGTGGGTAGAGAACCTGCCCATCTGTGCATCACAGACATGCTTAGCCTCCACTCCCAAAACTGAGCCAGCTGAATTGGCAGTGCAGGAAGATGTGTTTTTATAGGAAGGTATGCCCGCAAGGCAGGTTTGCTCACTCACAGGCAGCTGTGCCACAGAAAGAGTGCCCACAAGGCAGGTTTGCCCACAGAAGGAGTACCCATAGGCAGGTCTGGCATAGGCAGTTGTGCCCACAGAAGGAGTGCCCGCAAGGCAGGTTTGCCCACAGAAGGAGTGCCCACAGGGAGGCACGCCCATAGGCAGGTATACGCACAGGCTGGCATGCCCAGGGACGTGTTTACACCCCAGGGGAGCAGATCTGTCCTGGCCAGAGTCTGGCTGTCACAGCCATGCTTGTTGTTGTCAGTGACTTACTGTGGGGTGGGAGGCCTCTGGAGAGTCTGGGGTGGGGATCTGGGTATCCAGTTCTGGGCTGGACATTGTGTGCCTTTGTGGCCTGGCCCCAAGGGCCAGAGCCATTGACGTGTGGAATCTGGGGCTGGGCCAGCCATCTCAGGTGGTGCCAGCTAGGATTCATGACCTGTCCCTGCTCCTGGGTCTGTCACCCTGCCCACCTGAGCCCAAGACCACCTTGTCCCCAGGGAACAGGGCCATGGGCAGGTCCTGGGAATGCCAGCCACTTAAGCAGCCGTGCCATCTAGGTTGGCTGGCCTGTGTGTGGCTGCAATTCTGTTTGTAGTTCTGTCCCTTCCGGTTGGGGTCCTGCCTGCTGGGGGCTTGTGCTCAAGACGGGTCACATCACCCATGGACCTTGGCCTTTGGCTCTGTCCTCTGTTCACTGCTCCTGCGTGTCACCCTCACACCTCCCCAGGCTCCTCCTGGACCCCGGACCCCTGCCCCTCCTCAGCTTCCAGCCTCAGGGTGCCATCCCCTCCTGTGTCCTAGCAGCTTTGCCCAGCAGCAGACCACAGAGTGGACCAGGGTGTCCGTGGCCTTGGAGTGCAGGCAGTGGAGGTCTGGCATGGCTGCCATGGGCCATCAGCTAAGTTGCCTCTCCTGACAGGTGATGGCGGTGCACGGGAAAGCAGCCCATTCATGGGGGCCGCGGCACTGGATGGGGACAGCCTGCTGGAAGGCAAGAACATGGCCCTTTTTGAGGCAAGTGGCTTCTCCTCAGGGGCAAATGGAGGGGGGCCAGGGAGCAGAGCGGTGTGGCCTGAGAGTGACCGGTGGACATCTGCAGGAGGAGATGGACAGCAACCCCATGGTGTCCTCGCTGCTCAACAAGCTGGCCAACTACACCAATCTCAGTCAGGGCGTGGTGGACCACGAGGAGGCTGAGGAAAGCAGGCCACGCGAGTCCAAGGTACACCTTTCTCTCCACCCCAGCTGGGCCCTCAGCCCCCATCCTTCACACTCCCCTGGGCTGGACCCTAGGTCGCCGTACTCCCCCTCCCTCATGGGCTGGGTCCTTGTCCTCATCCTCCCTCCCCACAGGGCCCTCAGTCCCTAGCTTCCTTTCCTGTGCTTCCTGTCTCCCCTCCCCTACCATGTGTGGCCCTTTTGTGACCCCTGCCAGGGAGCTCACAGCGGGTATGTGGCCACTCCTGGGCTGTGTGGAGGGGCCTGGAGCCTGGAGCCTGTCAAGGTCGCAGCTGCTCACCTGGCATGGTAGGGGTGGCACAGGGATGCCTAGCGCTTGGCCTGCAGGTCCTCCCTGCAGTTGTGGGACTTGTACATTAGCAGCCATGGGGTGCGTGACCCATGAGCACACTGGCAGGAGGCAGACAGGCTCCCATGACCCAGGCACATACACACACATATGGGAAGCAGACAGGTCCCTGTGACCCATGCGCACGCGTGGGAGGCAGACAGACCCCTATGACCCATGCGCACACTGGCAGGAGGCAGACAGACCCCTAGGACCCATGCGCACACTGGCAGGAGGCAGACAGACCCCTATGACCCATGCGCACACTGGCAGGAGGCAGACAGGCGCCATGACCCAGGTGCACATGTGTATAGGAGGTGGGCAGGAGGGGGATTGGCTGCTCGTTTGGGCTAGGGCACCTCCTGAGATCATGGCCGAATCTGGCTGAGCCTTCTGCCTGGCCCTACAGAGTGGGCTTGGCCAAGGCCAGGCAGGTCGGCCTTGTGCCGCTTCCTGCTGACTTCCTGTTCTCTAAGCCAAGCTGCACCCAGCTAGGGTGGAGCCCTTTGTCCTGCTGCCCCCACCTTGTCCCAGGGCTGGGCACTGGGTATGGGCAGGCAGCAGCCAGGCTGCACCCTTTCCTTCGCGGCCTCCAGGCCACCAGCTTACCATGCCCTGAGCCACCATTGAACTGTATGACCCAGGGCTACCTGCCCCAGCCTCCTCTCACAACCCTGTCCAGGCCTGGTCAGGGAGTCACAGGAGCAGTGGTCACAGGAAACGGCACCTCCACTCAACACCATCTTCTGGCTGGATGGGTGTGGACAGAGAACATACAGCCCTGCTCAGCCTCTGTGTGCTCCCAGCCCCAGCCCTGTCCCTGCAGACCCTCTGTGTGCTCCAGCTCCAGCCCTGTCCCTACAGACCCTCTGTGTGCTCCAGCCCTGTCCCTACAGACCCTCTGTGTGCTCCAGCTGCAGCCCTGTCCCTGCAGACCCTCTGTGTGCTCCAGCCCTGTCCCTACAGACCCTCTGTGTGCTCCAGCCCTGTCCCTGCAGACCCTCTGTGTGCTCCAGCTCCAGCCCCAGCCCTGTCCCTGCAGGCCCTCTGTGTGCTCCAGCCCCAGCCCCAGCCCTGTCCCTACAGACCCTCTGTGTGCTCCAGCTCCAGCCCCAGCCCTGTCCCTACAGACCCTCTGTGTGCTCCAGCCCCAGCCCCAGCCCTGTCCCTACAGACCCTCTGTGTGCTCCAGCCCCAGCCCTGTCCCTGCAGGCCCTCTGTGTGCTCCAGCCCCAGCCCTGTCCCTACAGACCCTCTGTGTGCTCCAGCCCCAGCCCTGTCCCTGCAGGCCCTCTGTGTGCTCCAGCCCCAGCCCCAGCCCTGTCCCTACAGACCCTCTGTGTGCTCCAGCCCCAGCCCTGTCCCTGCAGACCCTCTGTGTGCTCCAGCCCCAGCCCTGTCCCTACAGACCCTCTGTGTGCTCCAGCCCCAGCCCTGTCCCTACAGACCCTCTGTGTGCTCCAGCCCCAGCCCTGTCCCTACAGACCCTCTGTGTGCTCCAGCTGCAGCCCTGTCCCTGCAGACCCTCTGTGTGCTCCAGCCCCAGCCCTGTCCCTACAGACCCTCTGTGTGCTCCAGCTGCAGCCCTGTCCCTGCAGACCCTCTGTGTGCTCCAGCCCCAGCCCTGTCCCTACAGACCCTCTGTGTGCTCCAGCCCCAGCCCTGTCCCTACAGACCCTCTGTGTGCTCCAGCTCCAGCCCCAGCCCTGTCCCTACAGACCCTCTGTGTGCTCCAGCTCCAGCCCCAGCCCTGTTCCCACAGGCCCCCTGCATGGGCACCTTCATTGGCGTCTACCTGCCCTGCCTGCAGAACATACTGGGCGTCATCCTCTTCTTGCGTCTCACCTGGATCGTGGGCGCTGCCGGCGTGCTTGAATCCTTCCTCATCGTGGCCATGTGCTGCACCTGCGTGAGTCCTCCTTCCCCACCAGAGCTGTCCTTGGGATGAGCCCTAGCCCCCACGTCTTCACAATTCTGCTGCATCGGAGGGGTCGACAGCAGAACTCACAGAAGGCTGACCCCAGCTCTGGGCACCCCAGCGTCTTCTATCCAGTGCCCTGTTCCTGCTAGGACCTTTACTGGTACACTCAACCACCTGAAGGCCCAGCTGTTTACTAAAGCATCACCCGGCAATGGAGATAACAGGAGACGCTGGCCGCATGGTCACCTGCCCAACCCGAGGCTGCACGGGCTTCCCTGGACCGAGGGCAGCCAGCAGAGGCAGCAGCTAGGCCCTGGGGCCTTGGGCAGAGCTGGTCTTCCAAGGCCAGTGGATCCCATGTGCCCTGTGCTGGGTTGGGGTGGAGAACCCAGGGCTGGTGTCATCAAAGCTCCTGAGGGCAGGGGCAAGGCTGGCTGGCCTCTGTGGCCTGGTGGAATAGCCTAGGCCCAGCTCTCCCCACTCGGGAAGCTTTTGGAACATAGGACTGTGCCTTTGCAGACAATGCTGACAGCCGTCTCCATGAGCGCCATCGCCACCAATGGCGTTGTACCAGGTGAGCAGGTGGCTGAGGTTGCCATGAATGCAATCCCTGCAGGAACCCTACCCCTGGGGTACCCAGGAACAGAGTGGGCTTCTGTGTTCAGGGCACTTTAAGGAGAGCCTGGCAGAAGTTACCCAGACCTAAGGAGCCTTGGGCCATCCACTGGTGTGCTGCCTCAGCTCCCACACCTGTCCTGCTGCCCTCACTCTCACACCTACCCTGCTCTCCTTGTTCCCTCACTGGCTGTGTGCCCTCTGGGATTCAGGACTGGCCTGGGAGGTGTCCACTCCCGTGCATCTCGTTGGGGTTGGGGTGTGTCCTGAGCTGACAAGCCTCTCCTTTTGGGTCGGGGAGGCCCCAGGTGTGTGTTGGCCCGCAGGCCTGGGTGCCCAGCATGGGGTGGGGAAGCTTTTGTCCATGCGCACAGGAGCAGGAATTCAGATTAAGGACAGAAAGCTGACAGTCTACAATGCAGCCTGTAGTCCTCAGCACTGCATACTGGCCCGGGAAAGCTGCTGAGAGAGGCAGGCACCCCTGGAGCCCCATGGTCCACTCCCTGCCAGGGGCTGCCAGTCAGCAGGCAGGTCCCTGTGGCCCGTTGGGCTCCCATGTGACCTGGACATGCCAGTGGTGCCTGCACCTGCTTTTCTTGGGAGGAGATGTCCCCAGAAGGAGGCGTGTTCCCACATGGCTCTGTTAATCAGTTCCCGTGGGAGGATGCGTGGGTACCTGAGTGCCCAAGGCATGTGTCCCTGACCCTCATTCCATCTGCAGCTGGGGGCTCTTACTACATGATCTCCCGCTCACTGGGGCCCGAATGTGGCGGCGCTGTCGGCCTCTGCTTCTACCTGGGGACGACCTTCGCCGGGGCCATGTACATCCTAGGCACCATTGAGATCTTCCTGGTGAGTGCATGCCCAGGGGCATACCACTCCCCACGAGCTACCCCCGCACACACACACCAAGAGTCCCAACCTCACCAAGCATTCCCTGAAGGTCCTAACCCCTGGCTGGCACAGGCAGGTAGCTCTGTCTCCTGGGTATGGGCATGGCTGAACCCTCAGATGGGGCTTCCAGAGGCAGAGAGTCAGGGCAGTCAGGGCAGTGGGGCGGCTCCTTGACATTGCCCTGGTCGGCCCTATCCCTGCAGACATACATCTCACCGGGCGCAGCCGTGTTCCAAGCATCCACGCCCGAGGGTGAGGCAGCTGCATTGCTGCACAACATGCGGCTCTACGGATCCTGCACATTGGCCCTCATGGCCGTGGTGGTCTTTGTGGGTGTCAAGTACGTCAACAAGCTGGCCCTGGTCTTCCTGGCCTGCGTTGTGCTGTCCATCCTGGCCATCTATGCTGGTGTCATCAAGACAGCCTTCGATCCCCCTGACATCCCGTGAGTGCCTGGGGACCCCTGGGTCCCAAGTCCTCTAGGCCATACAAGGTGGCCACAAGCAGGCACACACATGAGGACAGGAGCGTCCACAGGGCATGCAGGAAGCTCCTCCCACCTCATCCCAGCCCTGTCCCTGCAGGGGGAGGAGGAGGTGGTGAGAAAACTCCTGGCTCGCCCCCACCCCGGACAGCAGAAGTGTTGGGGAACTCCAGCTTTAGGCCTCCTACTACCCTCAGGGTGTGCCTCCTGGGGAACCGCACACTGGCCCGACGTGGCTTCGATGTCTGTGCCAAGATGCACGTGGTTGGCAATGGCTCTGCTCCCACAGCCCTCTGGGGCCTCTTCTGTAATGGTTCCAGCCAGTCCCTCGCCTGCAACGAGTACTTTACTCTCAACAACCTCAGCGAGATCCAGGGCATCCCTGGTGTGGCCAGTGGTGTGCTCCTTGGTAAGTGTGGTGGGGGATGTGGTACCCACCTGGCCAAGCCCCTGGGGTCTCCTTCAACAGGTCAGCCTCCTGGGGCACCTGTGCAGGTCAGCAGCATCGTGAGAACAGGTCCTTTATCCCACTGGATAAGGTAGGAAGTGGTCAGCGGATCGACAAACAGCAACTCTTCCTATCCATCCACAGGTTCCTGTCCCGGGCAGGGGGCATTCCATGGTATAAGTTTGGGTCCTGGGTCCTCGGAGGCTACCTTGACCCCCTGTGTTAGGCAAGGGTCATGAAGTGAGATGGAGCGGGACATAGCCACATCCTGGAGGTGGCCCCCGCTATGTGCAGAGGTGGGGGTTCTTAGAGACACAGAGGTCTGGAAGGTGGTGCCTTGGGCAGGGGAAGTAGCCTGGGTGGGGCAGGTGCAGGCCAGGGTGACCCTTGGGGGAAGAGATGCTGTGTACAGTGGAGGCTGGGTTGGGCTTGTTGGGCAGGGTTCCAGCTCAGCAATGCTGTTTCCACAGACAACCTATGGAGCTCCTACTCAGACCGGGGGGCCTTCGTGGAGAAGAAGGGAGTGGCCTCAGTGCCAGCGCCTGAGGACCGTCGGTCTGGGGCGCTGCCCTATGTGCTATCAGACATTACTACCTACTTCACCATGCTGGTGGGCATCTACTTCCCCTCCGTGACTGGTGAGCACCTGGCACACCTTGTGTCTGCGCCTCTGCCTAGCGGGGCTCCCCATCAGCCCCCAGAATGCGGGGACTTACTCCTTCAGGTCTTGTTTCCACACAGTGGGGTTGCCAAGACCACAGGCCCTGGCCCCTGGAGCCCCCATCCCAAGGTCTGCCCACAACGGCACCTCCTCACAGACTGCAGCCCATGGCCCCTTGGCCTCTGGCCCTGCTAAGCGGGGCTCTCTGTGACCAACCTCCATGCACAGTGGAGTCTCCCCCTATGCCCCACCCTGTATCCCAAGGCCTGGGTGACCATGGCTAGCTGTGACGTCACTGTGTGTCCACAGGCATCATGGCTGGCTCTAACCGGTCCGGGGACCTCAAGGATGCACAGAAGTCCATCCCCACGGGCACCATCTTAGCCATCGTGACCACATCCTTCATCTGTATCCTTGGGGCCCGAGGGGCGGGAGGGGAGGGCCATCAGCCCTGCCCCAGGGAGGAGAGGGACACCTGGGTTCCCACTTGCTCCCTGACCAGGCTTTTGTGTCATCCTAGTCTGCAGCGTGAGGGGACACCACACGTGTGATGGGCGCTACCCCACCATAGACATCACATGTACTGTTTACCACGACACGTGCACTTGAGCTGTGGCTACTGCCTCCTGCATGTGTCCCTCTAGCCATGCTTCCAGGGACCATGTGGGATGGGCAGGAGAGCCCTGCTGGTCTCTGTGCCCTTCTGCCTCTTCTCTGCCAGTTCCTTGACAGGAGTCACAGATCTGTCCTGCATTGTGTTGTTTGGGGCCTGCATTGAGGGCGTGGTCCTGCGAGACAAGTATGATACTGCCTTGCTCTGTGCCCAGCAATCTTGGCTCTTCCTCTAGCCAGGCCCCACCCCCATGGGCTCCGCCTCCAACCAGCCCCCACCCCCAGTCTGTTCCACCTCCAGCCAGACCACACCCCGCCCATGCTCACCCCTACTGTTTTCCTGAGAAAGATCCCAGCTTCCACTGGCTGACTTCTGCTACCTAACTTCCTAGACCTTGGAGCTGGGAGAAGCTTCCAGCAAACCCTGAGACCCATGGGACGCGCACATCCTCCCCTCCCCATGACCAGGCCTGCCCATTAGGGTCACCGTGGCGGTACCAGGGCCTGGGCTGTCTTGAAGTGGCCTAGGGGAGCAGGACACTGGGCAGGCTACCCCTTTGTCTAAAGTCCCTGCACTGAGCAGGGCAGGAGAGGGTCTCCTGCGAGGACCCCTGTACTGATCCTGCCCCCTCTGCAGGTTCGGGGAAGCCCTGCAGGGGAACCTGGTCATCGGTATGCTGGCCTGGCCGTCCCCCTGGGTTATTGTCATCGGCTCCTTCTTCTCCACCTGTGGTGCTGGACTGCAGAGCCTGACCGGGGCACCCCGCCTGCTGCAGGCCATTGCCCGAGATGGCATCATTCCCTTCCTGCATGTGAGTGCGGCCAGGATGGGGAGGGGATCCTTGGGAGGTCAGCGAAGACCTAAGGTTCCAGCCACTGATCAGACCTCCTTCCTGTTTGCCCATGTTATGGGATTCACCCCAACTTGATTCTCAGGATCTCCCCTTACTACTGTTACCTGCTCTGGCCTGGACTCTACCCTCCCAGGCTAGGTCCCAGCTTCCTGCCTGGCAGCATGTATCCATAGGAGGGGTTGGCACTGTTCCCTGCACATCGCTGAATGTGACAGCAGGGAGCTTCCCAGAAAATTTGGTGTGACTCCAGCAGTAGCCTATGGGCTTCTGGAAAGCTCTTTGAGCCCTAGGGCTGTGGGGGGGAGCGCTAGGCCATGAGAGTGCCCTTCCACTCTGGGCCATGCTGGCAGATGTAGCTGTGGGGGTCAGGGCTAGGGGAGGACAGGTCTCTGGGCTCTGGGAAGTGTCGGGGAGGACAGGCCTAGAGGGGGCTAGTGGTGGCCTGGGCACACAGGCAGGGGCCTGGCGAGCACGAGCCCTGTGGAGCTTCTCCAGTGTAGACCAGCTTGGCAGCTCCTGCTGTCTTGGTTTCACATGTCCTGGAGTGGAGCTGATGCCTCTTGGCTGCCTCCTGCAGGTCTTTGGCCACGGGAAGGCCAACGGGGAGCCCACCTGGGCGCTGTTGCTCACGGCTCTCATCTGTGAGACTGGCATTCTCATTGCATCCCTGGACAGCGTGGCCCCCATCCTCTCCATGTAAGTGGGCACAGCTAGCCTCGTCCCAGGGGGCTGCTGACCAACATGGGAACCTGGAGCATGGACAGGAGGATAGAGATTCAGGTGGGGGTGCAAAGACCAGGGCACAGGGATCTGGAAGGAGAGGCTGGACTCGGGAGGGGCGGGATCACCCACTCTGGCTCATGTGGCCCCCTGACTTGCCAGGTTCTTCCTCATGTGTTATATGTTCGTGAATCTGGCCTGCGCCCTTCAGACCCTCCTGCGAACACCCAACTGGAGGCCACGCTTCAAGTATTACCACTGGTCAGGACCCTCCCCCTCCAAGGCTGGGACATTCAGGCTTGCTTTGGGATGTGGCCGTAGGGTCCTTACTGATGGCTGAGGGTCCACGTCTTGTGTGCCCCCCTAGGACCCTGTCCTTCCTGGGTATGAGCCTGTGCCTGGCCCTTATGTTCATCTGCTCCTGGTACTATGCGTTGTCAGCCATGCTCATCGCCGGCTGCATCTATAAGTACATTGAGTATCGTGGGTGAGTGAAGCAGGTGTGATGCTCAGGGCGGGGCCTCTTTGCAGGGGGCAGGACCTGCCAGTCTGGACCTGTGTGAGTTCAGATTCAGGGTTCCCTGGTGGTACCATGATATAGGCTGAGCGCCCCCTCACCCCCAGGGCTGAGAAGGAGTGGGGTGATGGCATCCGGGGCCTCTCGCTGAACGCTGCCCGTTACGCCCTTCTGCGTGTGGAGCACGGCCCTCCCCACACCAAGAACTGGAGGTGAGCATGACCCGAGAGCTGAGGCCTGGCCTGAGACCTGCTGGCTCAGGATCCAGGGTGGCCGGCAGTCCAGCAAGGCCAGTGTTCTGTGCTGACTGCTGCCCACCTACCATAGGCCCCAGGTGCTGGTGATGCTGACCCTGGATGATGAGCAGGGTGTAACACACCCACGCCTGCTGTCCTTCACCTCCCAACTGAAGGCCGGCAAGGGCCTGACCATCGTAGGCTCCGTGCTGGAGGGGACCTATCTGGATAAGCATGTGGAGGCCCAGCGGGCTGAGGAGGTGAGCAGGTCCTGGTAGGTCAGTTCTCCAAGGTGGGAGAGGATTTGGGTCAGTAGGTGACAGGCAAGAGTCCTTCTGAAGTTCTGCATCTGGCAAGGTGGGGATCATGGGATGCTGCAACGCTGCCCCATGCTCATATCCTGCAGTGTGGGTCATGGTGCATGTGGCCCCAAGATCGGAGATGGGGGTGATGCCTGTGCAATCCTGTGTTCAGTGTCCCTGTGTCTTCCATGTGCATGGTGCATAAGTGTGTGCCTGTGAACCCAGCCCAGGCTATGCCTCTGACTCCTCACAGAACATCCGGGCGCTGATGGGGGCCGAGAAGATGAAGGGCTTCTGCCAGCTTGTGGTGTCCTGCAGCCTGAGGGATGGCACCTCACACCTCATCCAGGCAGCCGGCCTGGGTGGCATGAAGCACAACACGGTGCTCATGGCCTGGCCTGAGACCTGGAAGCAGCCAGACAGCCCCTACTCCTGGAAGTACTTTGTGGGTGGGTGCAGCTGCCAGTGGGGGGCAGGGTGCTGGCGGGTGGGCATGGCCCCAGCCAATGAGAAAGTCACTGTGGCCCTTCTCTGGCAGAGACGGTCCGGGACACCACGGCGGCCCAACAGGCCCTGCTGGTGGCCAAGAACATTGACCTGTTTCCACACAACCAGGAGCGGCTGGGCGAGGGCAGCATCGACGTATGGTGGGTGGTGCATGACGGGGGCATGCTCATGCTGCTACCCTTTCTGCTGCGCCAGCACAAAGTAGGTGGGGCCATGGGATGGAACGAGCCACAGGGAGGCAGGACCACGGGGAGGGGATGGGGCCGCAGGGCATGTGAGGGAGCAGCTGTTGGCCAGCCTGACCCTTCCTTTCCAGGTGTGGCGCAAGTGCCGGATGCGCATCTTCACAGTCGCACAGGTAGATGACAACAGTGTCCAGATGAAGAAGGACCTCCAGACGTTCCTGTACCACCTGCGCATAAGTGCTGAGGTGGAGGTGGTGGAGATGGTGCGTGGGGGGTGGGGCGCCCACCAGTGAGGGGAGAGCGCAGAATGCTACATGCATGCTTAGCTACAGCACCCAGTGCATGGTCGCCTTAGTGCAGTCTAGTGTTGCAGTTGAGTGGCTATGGCTGTCCTGAGTGTCCACATCACTGATGGCTTCCCGTGTGGTCACCTTGGGTGGCCTTTGCGTGGATTGGGTGCTGCCCCAAGAGCAAACTCACACCTGTTATTGGAGAGTGCAGTCCCTCGAGGCCACTGCCCTGTCCAGCACTCCAGGCATGGCCACTCTTCAGAGCTGTATATGGGGCAGTGCCCGAGAGGATTGGGGGGCGGAGCCAGTGCTGTTCCAACTGCTGCTCATGCAAGTTCCACCCACAGCTCCTGGGGGCTGCACTGGGTTGGAGGGACAGATAGCCAGGACATCTGAGCCCTTTGTGCCATCTGGTCAACTGTGCCCAGGGGAGCAGGGGTGGGATGACAGCACCTTTTGCCCCTGTGGACTCCAGGTGGAGGACATCTGGGGTCAGGATGGGATGAACACACTTGCTGTCCTCTGGGCCCCAGGTGGAGAACGACATCTCGGCCTTCACCTATGAGAAGACGCTGCTGATGGAGCAGAGGTCACAGATGCTGAAGCAAATGCAGCTGACAAAGGGCGAGCGGCAGAGGGAGGTGAGGGGGCGGGTCAAGATGACCTCTATGATGACTGCCTGTTCCTCCCTGGGCTCTTACACTGCTGCAGCTGTAAATGAGTCCAAATCATTTTCTGTGATGGATCCCAGGGCGGGTGCAGGGACCTCAGGCATCAGTGTTTTGTTCAGAACTCAGGCCGTGAGTGTGCAGGTGCACAGGTGTGCTGACCTGCCCATCCTTTCTTGGCACCAGTGTCCTCTTCATGCTTGTGGCTTTCAAGTCTGGGCCTGAGAGGAAAGGCAGGGCAGCTGAAGGATCTAGGGCTTTGGTCAGTCCCAGTTGTGGGTGTGGAAGTCAAGGCAAGGGCAAAGGTCATGGGGCAGCTGCTGGCCACTCAACTCTCTCAGCTCTGTAGGGCAGCCTGGCCATAGTGGTCATCTTGTCAATCTGGAGCATCCTGGGAGTTGCTGTTCCCGCTGAACTCTGCCAACGTCTGACTCTTCCAGGCCCAGCTGATCCATGACAGGAATACAGCATCCCATACTGCAGCTGCCTCCAGGGCACAGGCCCCACCCACACCTGACAAGGTGCAGATGACCTGGACCAAGGAGAAGCTGAGTGCAGAGAAGCACAGGCACAGGGATGCCGGTGGGGCGGGCTTCAGGGAGCTCTTCAGCCTGAAGCCGTAAGTGTTGAGGGCCACCAGCAAGGGAAAGGCTGGGCGCCAGTAGTCAGCTGGGTTCTTGGCCCTGTCCGTTGGGCAGCCCCAAAGGGATGGGGGCCAAGGCCAGTCAGCACGTCTGGGCTTAGTGTGTGTCCTGGCTGCAAATGAGACAGGGATATTCCCTTTGGGGAAGTAGGGTGTCCTGATAGGTGTGGTGGCTATGGCCATCTGAACCTGTGGGCTGTTCCTAGTTCATGCAGGCAGAGGCCAGGTCACCTCTCAGTCCCTATCCTTTAGTGGTGGGGCTAGGCAGCCTGGGATTCATAGAACCTGGCAGGGAGGAACCCCTTGTAGGGAGGACCCAGGGACCCTGTCAGGCTTTAGGATGGCTTGGGGCACCCAGCCATGGCCTGCAGACATACCACATGTTCACACATGCAATAACATACTCTGTTTTTCTCCTCTACGTAGAGAATGGGGAAACCTGTAAGTCCACCTGCTGTGTTTAGGCTGCCCTGGACCAGCTTCCTTACATGCCTGCATGTACAAGTTTGTGTATCCAGCTGTGTATGCATCTGTGTGTACATGTGTGCATGTGCATGGCCACATGCAGACAGAGCTCCTACACATATCATCTGTTCTCTCCAGAGACTGGTACCAGGCTAGACTCACTGCCTTAGCCACACCCAGGAGCTATGAGCTGATGGTCAAGGGTTGGGGGCAGGTGTGGCCCTTGGGGACAAGAGTAGGGACAGGGGCAGCGCCATGGCAAGGACTGTGTTCCCCTTTGCAATCCTGAGGTCATCACACACAAGGACATCATGGAGGCTCTGCTGGGTGGCTAAAGCCAATGGACAGCGCCTATGACCACAGCATGTCTCCTCAGGGCATTAGTTGCTGGAAGCCATTAGATGGGATTAGGGCTCACCTCCTGTGTGGACACAGGAGGAGAAGAAGGAGGTGAACACAGGGACATGCATGCACACACAAGTGTGGCACACAGGACTGGCAGCTGGGTCTCCCAGGGGTGGGCTTGCCGGACAGGGTCTGGTGTAGGGCCAGCCATCTATCAAAGTGAACCCAGTGTGAACTGGAAGGTCAGGTCAGCCCTCAGTGTGCATTTGGATGCTTCTCTGCACATGTTACCACCACATGTGTACACATGTCAGCATATATAGTGTGTGCATGTTTAATATATGTGCAGCTCTAGGGTATATGTGGCTTCACTGTGTGTGTGTGTCTTTGTGTGTGCCCTTGTCTGTGTGCCTCTGAATATCCATGCATGTCTGTACAGTGTGCATGTTCCCCTTCCTCTGCATGACTTGGGAAAGGCATTACAGGAGTCATGGGTGTGAATTTCTGTGTTGCCATGTGCGCCCCACACAAGACTCCATGTTCCTCAAGGATATTTCCTCATAGGCACTCAGGGCAAGGTCGTGGAAACAGATGCCGTTCCCATGAATGTCCCGGGGTCCTAAGGCCACATGGGTCTGCTTGATCTGTGCCCTTGGCAGGTGCCTCGCACTAAAACCCAACACTGCCCTGATCCAGGGTTCTGATGCTAGAACTGTCTCTTAGTTCACACCCCTACAAACACCACAAATTTGTTCCTGGAGGGAACGCTTCTCCCAGACAGTGTGGACTGAGGTCTACCTGTCAGTCAGGTTCATGGTCAATGGTGGTGCCACATGTTGGGGCCACATCTGCCATTTTATCAACATAAAAGAGTTGAGAGGCTTACACCTGTGACTGGTGTTACCTTTGGAGTTGAATGAGGCTCTATGGAGGTAAGAGTGGTCACATGAGACTCCATGGTGGTATATGTGGACTCATGAACTCCCTGCTGGTACACATGGGCTTGTGGGCTCCATGGTGTTGTATGTGGGCTATGGGTCCCATGTTGGGATGCATGCATTTAAGAGGCTCCATGATAGTAAAAATGAAAAATAAAGAAATAAAATAAAAGGTTAAAAAAAAAAAGAGGCTCCATGATGCTACATGTGGACTTGTGGGCTCCTTGGTGGTACATGTGGACTCATGTGGACTCATAGACTCCATGATGGTACTTGTGGACTAGTGAGACTTCCATGGGGCGTTTGTGGGCTCCATGGTGGTACCGTGTGGACTTAATGGCTCCATGGTGGTATGGTATGGACTTGTAGGATCAATGGTAGTATATGTGGAATTGTGGGCTCCATCGTGGACATGTGGTCTCATGGGATCCACGGTGGGATGCATGTATTCATGAGGCTCCATGGTAGTACTTGTGGACTGATTAGGCTCCATGCTGGTATGTGTAGACTGGTGTGACTCCATGTGGTACATTCGGACTCATGGACACCATAGCGGTACGTGTGGACTTGTGGGCTCTCTGGTGGTACACATGGACTTGTGATTCTATAGTGGACATGTGGACTGTTGCGGCTTCATGGTGCTACGTGTTATCTTGTGGACTCCATACTAGTGCAGTGGACTTGTTGGCTCCATGGTGGTACATGTGGCCTCATGAGCTCCATGTTGGAATGCATGCATTTATGAGACTCTATGGTGATATTTGTGGGCTAGTGAGGCTCCATGGTGGTATGTGTGGAATTGTAGACTCCATGGTGTCACGTGTGGACCTATTGGCTCCATGGTGGAACATGTAAACTCATGGGGTTGATCCTGGTTCATATGGACTTGTGTGCTCCTGATTGTATGTGTTGACTCCATGGTGCTGTGTGTGGACTCGTGGGCTCTTTGGTGGTATTTGTGGACTTATGGGCTCTATGGTGGTACATGTGGACTATTGGGCTCCATTGTGGAACATGTGGACAAGTAGCCTCCCTGGTGGAATGCATGCATTCGTAAGGCTCCATGATGCTACTTACGGGCTCATTATCTACATGATGCTTTGCATGTACTGTGGTCTCCTTGGTAGTACTTGTGGACTTGTGGGCTCCATCGTGGTATGTGTGGACTCCATGGTGGAGTATGTGGATCTGTTGGCTCCATGGTGGAACATGTGGACACCTGGACTCTATCGTTGTATATGTGGACTCATGGGCTCTCTGGTGGTACACGTAGACTTGTGGTCTCCATGGTGGTATGTGTGGACTTGTGCAATCCATGGTGAATTATGTGGACTCGTGGGCTCCATCGTTTTACACGTCAACTCTTGGGCTCCATGGTGGTACTTGTGGACTGATGTGGGTTCATGGTGGTATGTGTGGACTGATGTGCCTCCTTGGTGGAACGTGTGGACCTCTGGACTCCATGATAGTATTTGTAGACTCATGGACTCCATTGTGGTATGAGTGGACATTTAGGCTCCATGGTGGAACATGTAGACTGATGTGGCTCCATGGTGGTATGTGTAGATTCATGGGCTGTATGGTGTCCTTGTTTCATGAGCTCCATGGTGCTACAAGTGGACTCGTGGTCTCCTTAATAGTACTTGTGGACTCGTGATTCAGTTGTACATGTGGTCTTATGGGCTCCATGGTGGGTTGCATACATTCATGAGGCTCCATGATGGTACTTGTGGACTAGTGAGGCTACATGGTGGAACATGTGGACACATGAACTCCATGGTTGATATGTGTGGACTCATGGGCTCCTGGTAGTATTTGTGGTAGTGAGCTCCATGTGATGCATGTGGACTTGTTTGGCTCTATGGTGGTATGTCTGGACTTGTGGGCTCCATGGAGGGATTCATAAGTCTCCATGGTGCTACATTTGGACTCATGGGCTCCATGATGGTGCACATATACTTATTGGCTCCATGGTGGTACACGTGGAATCGTGGGCTCCATGGTGGAACATGTGGACCTGCTGGCTCCATGGTAGAATGTGTGGACTTATGGGCTCCACAGTGGTACACGCGGACTCATGGGCTCCATGGTGGTATGCGTGGACTTGTTGGCTCCATGGCTTTACATGTGGATTTATGGGCTCCCTGCTGTTACACGCAAACTCATGGGCTTCATGGTGGTACTTGTGGACTCGTTTGTACCATGGCAGTACATGTGAACTTGTGGACTCCATAATGGTACGTTTGGACTCATGAAGCTCCATGGTGGTACGTATGAATTCCCTGGTCATACATGTTGATTTGTCGACCTTTTTACTGTTCAGTAACTTTGGACATTGAGAAGTTTAAGCCTCTCTCCACCTTGTGCTCTGTACATACCTGTGCCAATTTACAGTGCCCCCTTGCTGTGGGGCTCTCAGGGACAGCATGAACTTTCCTATCTACCCCTGTAGCGTAGAACTGGGGGCAGTGGAGACATGAGGCATTGGCCTGGCACGCTGTGTGCCAGAGCTACTTCCTCCAGGTTTGTGAGGGCACAAGAGACCTCTGATGTGGCTGTCAGGCACCATAAGCACATTGCTGAGTGATCTGTTGTAGCTGAGCCTTGACCTCTCTTGAGGCCTGGGTAACATTGGGATATATGAGGAAGCAGTGGTGGCATGTACTGTCAAAAACAGGATTGTGGGGGTAGGATCCAGAGCACCTTGCCCAGTGGGCAGCTACTTTCTTCCCTGCATGGCATACTGCCTATCATGTCATTGCATGTCATGGGAGGTGCCTGGAGGCACCAGTGCAGCTCTGTGCTAATGGATCCTCCTTGGCTGCTGGGTATGAATGCTGCGTCACTGCTACCCTCCTCCCACAGGGACCATTCCAATGTCCGGCGGATGCACACGGCCGTGAAACTCAATGGTGTGGTCCTCAGCCGATCCCAGGATGCCCAGCTGGTCCTGCTGAACATGCCCGGCCCCCCCAAGAACCGGCAAGGGGATGAGAACTGTATCCTTCTCAGCTGCAGTGCCATCTCTGTCCCTGCTGGGCTCCCTCCCTAGTCTTGGGATCATTGCCACCTGAGGAACATGGTAGCAGTGGGTGGGCATGTGATCAGTCCCCTACTTTTCTACCTCTTGGCAGCCAGGGCACAGTGGGCAACAATCACATGATATGGGAGGAGCTAGGCAGGGGTGGCAGTAAGTGTGCCAGGTATGCTCTGTGCCTAAGGGACACCTGGGAGATTGGGTGACAAGTGGCTGTGCCTTGCTCATCCAGCTTGTAGGTCACCTCTGTCCCAAGTGTGCACCTGGTAATACCACCTACTGCCTTGGACTGTGGTGGGGGAGGGGTTCCCCTCATATTGCTAGCCTGCTTGAGCCTCTAGGACACTCTCTGCATCTCCTGCAGGTGTATGGTTAGAGGCTGTCCGGGCACTTCGCTGAGCCTTACATTGGCTGACTACTGGGCCTGGGGAGCAGCAGCTGCTGCCCGTCCCCAGCAAACCTACTCCTATTTGCCCCACTGTCCCGCCCCTGTCTGCTCCTGGGCTCAAGGTTGGCTCCACAGCATCTATTAGGGCCTTAACCCCATCTACCTAGACATGGAGTTTCTCGAGGTCCTGACTGAGGGGCTGAACAGAGTCCTCTTGGTGAGGGGTGGTGGCCGGGAGGTGATCACCATCTACTCCTGACACAGGACAGTGAACGAGAAGTGACCACCATCTATCTGCTCCTAACACGGGACAGTGGCCAAGAGGTGGTCACCATCTACTCCTGACAGAATAGCAGCTGGGAGGTGGTCACCGTCTGCTCCTGACATGGGTCAGTGGACAGGAGGTAACCACCATCTATGCCTGATACAGGACAGCAGCCAGAGGTTGGTCACTATTTACTCCTGATATTGGACAGTGGCCAAGAGGTGGTCACCATCTATTAACACAGGACAGTGGACAGGAGGTGACCACCATCTACTCCTAACATAGGACAGCAACCAGGGGTGACCAACCATCTACTCCTGACACAGGACAGCAGCCAGGGGGTGACCACCATCTGCTCCCAACACAAGACAATGGCCCAGGAAATCAGCGGTCTAGGCTGGGGTTGGACTAGGGAACAGTGTGGGAATACACCTATTGCTCTGTGAGCTGTGCTGGCTGCTCTAGTTTCCTGCAGAAGCTGTCAGGCCTGTCTTTGGGGTTCCTCCCAAGGCAAGTGACTGGGAGCACCCACCCCTCCCCCCATCCATAGCACCCATGAAGCACATGTACCTCCTTGTGGCAAAGGTGCAGCGCAACATCCCCTCTGACCTCTGGTCCTCTCCCTGTCTGGGGTACAAGGAGCTGTGGACGTCCTGCCTGCACCCCAGTTGCCTAAGTGGGCCCAAGATCCACACCACCCCATCTACATGCCACAGCCTGGAGTCAGTGGGCAGGGAGCCTGGCTTTTCACATCCACTGTTGGGTGGGTATGTGGGGCTGTGCCCACCACCTCTGGTGTGCCCCAGTCCAGGACCACGTGAGGCCTCATGCAGATGTGTGTGCTGGAGCCATGGGGCACCTGGCAAGCCATGTGCTTAAGGAGAGTCTTCAGGGCCATCCATGGCAGCCATGAGCACACCTGTACAGCTCAGCCTATGAAGTATGCATGACTCACGGCAGCTGTAAGCATGTGTGTGCAGGAGCTCAGCCTGTCACAGGTGTCAACCTTCACTACCTAGGGCAGGACCTCTTAGTCCATCCAGCTGTCCTGAATGTAAACAGTTTGCCCAGTTGTCTTTGGTGTCCACAGTTCCACAGACACCACCAGGCCCCACTATCAGGTGTCTGCGTGCCAAGGTCCCCATGACATGCAGGCATGGAATGGCATGACAGGACATGGGGCCGCACTTGCTGAATGACGTATTTATTTATTTAAGCCCTTGGTGTCCACAGGCCCTAAGGGCATCCATCTGGGCAGCTGTGCTTCCAGAAGTTAGCTGGGCTCCATCCAGCTGCTGGTTGCTTCCTTTCACAATGCCTCATCTTTGTAGGTTTTGTTAGAGAAATAAAGTCCAGGGCACTTGGTATCTTGAAGAGTTGTGTGTCTTGGTCAGTGGTCAGCAGGCATAGGCACAAGATAGACTCACCCCCTCTCCCACATCTGGAGAGCTTTGGTTCAGACCCTTCAGCCAAATCACCTAAGGCTGAAGAATCATTGTCAAAAGCACCTATTGGTCTGAGAGCACCATCCTGTACTAAGGAGGCCTGTGGGGTACTGAGGGGCAGCCTGGATTCAGCATGCTGCCATGGACAAGCCCTACCTTACCCCTCCTTGGCTGAATGCCTCAGCCATGGAAAGCTTCTGGCAGTACTAGGAGCTCTGTCAATGATGACAGCAGACACACATCCCTGAGACAATGGAATGTAGTGTGGGCCAGGGCCATGCTGCCTAGCTTGTAACCACTGGCTTGGCCACAGGAAATGACCATAAGGTCACAGAAGCTGGTCATCCAAGTCTGGACACCAGGATGGGCAGAGGCCTGAGGTGGCCACCCTATTCTATAACCTCAACTCCAAGTGCTGTCCCCCCAGCCTTGAGACTGCTCTGCGGAGTCCGGGAAGGGTGTCTGCCTCCTGTAGTGATGATGCACCTGGCCTAGGCCCTTCTGTGGTTCCTGGGACCTGTCTACCCCATGAACCCATGGGAGCAGTGGCCCTCAGATGGACCAGCCCAAGTGCAAAGAACATAGCTGTGACCAATGAGGGAAGGCAGAGGTAGCCCCCAGAGGCCTGGGGAGACATCTGGCTGGGCTATTTCTATCCAGCTCTCTGCCAAGGACAGTGGGACCTGAGAGGCTTCTGCAAGGCTGGCTGTATGGGCAGGGCCACGACACCAACTTGACCTTTGCAGCCAGGACCCTTGGATTGTGTCTCCCCTTCCGGTCACAGGGCTGGGCCTGTCATCAGGAAACTTGGTGGCCAAGGTCATGATCAGCTCAGCTGCATGGACAGGGCCTGAGGTCAGTTTTTCCTGGAACCCACCTGAGGGCCTTTCTGGGCAGGCAGATGGAGCTGCCCAGGCTCATGGTCACTCAGCAGCCACCTGCTGTAGACACCCCTGTGGGCGTCCCTCCCTACAGGCTTGTGGGGTACCACACTAGCTCCACACTTGTTTGTCCCCACACCAGGCACCAAGGGTAATCCCTTCAAATCCCCCTTCCTGCCATGCTACTCCATGGTCCTGCCCTGGGGGATGCATTTCCACAATGGTTCTGGGGCTGGACCATGTCCTTGGGACAAATCCTCCATATAGATCATCCCTACTACACTTGACCTGGATGGGACATGGAAAGAGGCCCAGCCACGGATGCCACAGCCACGTATGGGGCCAGGCCCAAGGCAACACCTTCAACTGAATGTAACACCCTAGTCCCTCTGCCCCTAGGAACACAGTGATGAGCAGATGCACTGCCAAGAAAGGGGGAACATGGCACTGCCTGTAGGATCCCAATTGGATGCAGGGTGGTTTGGGGGTCCCTGAAGCAAGGCAGGGGACCTACCACACACACTGGCCTCCTGAGATAGTACAGACCTGACACCCCCTCTGTCCCACACTGGGGAGGGGGTGCTGACCACATGGCTTGGCTGACTTGTGCCTGACTGCTCACATGTGCTGTGCCTAGAGAAGACCCTCAGTGACCAATGGACCTTCCACAAGATACCCACTGGGATCCAGCTCACCCAAGTCTGTCTTGCAGCTGACCAGAGTCAGGCAGGCCCCTGGCCTGGTCCCACCTGTGTTCCCCAGAACTCTGCCCCACATTCCACATCCTGCTGTGGTCAGCGCTGTCCCTAGGAAGACAACCCAGCACCAAGGAAAGCTGCCCACCTGCCCCCAACATGGTGACAAATCAGTCACCAGGGACCAGAACTCTCAGGCCCCTTCTCCAGCTAGAACTCACTGGAGCCAGGAACAACGCAGACATAGGTGATATTCCCACATGGCGGTCACTGGGAGGTCACACAGCCACTTGTGCACAAGCTTATGTGCACATAGCTTCAACAAGCGGGCACAGTCCTTTCTACCTGTGCCCTGTGTCCCAATGATGCTGCCTGCTTGGCTGGAGCCCAGCTGCTTGGATAGGTGCTGGTGATGCTGGTGGTGGTGGAGGATCATGGGCAGTGTGTAGCCCTTGCCCATCAGCATTAGGGGTCAACTCCTGTGCCACTTTATGGCCTATGGTGGCCGCCCTGTGTACAGCCTTGAGTGACAAGTGGCCCTCCCTGCCCTACTGCTGGTGCCACTTGTAGCCACAGGACAGTGGTGGGGGCTGAAGAGGGTGGGTGCCATCCTTGGGATTGGCAGGTAGCAACTAGGCCTCACCCACCCAGATCTTTGGGAGACTTGAGAAGTAACTTCTCTGGTGGGGGCTGCACATCCAGTATCTGGGTTCTGTTGGCGTGTGTGTTCGACTCTTGTGAGGTCTGCATTACCTGAGACCTTGAGGGCACAGGGCACAGGGATGCTGGGTTAGAGGATGTAAGAGGGTACCAGAAATGAATTTCAGACGGCATGAAATCTGTGTCCATGTATGGACTCTCAGCATGTGGCCATACTACACCTGTGTGCCCCAACACGTGCTTGTACTGTACAACCTGTGTGCCCTCAGCATGTGTATGTCCTGCTCACCTGTGCCCTCAGCATGTATATATCCTCCATACCTGTGCCCACAGCATGTATATGTCCTGCACACCTGTGCCACAGGCACTTATGTAACCTGCACATGTGTACCCCAAGGCATGTGTATATACTGCACATGTCTTCCCACAGCACGTGTATATCCTGCACCTCTGTGCCACAGGCACATGTATAACCTGCATACCTGTACCCCAGCATTTGCGTGCACTGAACATGGTTGCTTACACACACACCGCTTCTCAGTTTTGGGTCCTGTGTTCAGTCCACAGCTAGTGCAGACCTACTGTGTATCCCTCTGACCTGGCCCTCCACAGTAAGACAAACCACAGGAAAGCACCTCATGCCTTTGGACCACTCTGCGTGTGCCCACCCCAAGGGTCATGAAGCTCACAGCACAGCCAGGGCACCTTCAACATGCCCACCCAGGGAGCCACTGGAGTCCTCCTGTCTTCTCAATCTCCCAACAGAGCCACAGAAATGTGCATAGCTTCCGTTATTTTCCCTCAGAAGCCCTTTGGTGGGCAGCACAGCATGTGAGGTTGAGACAAGGGTGTCCCCACCCCAAGAAAGCCATGGAGATACCCTGCATAGCACAGCCTGGAGCTTCCCAGAGGCTTGGGGACACCAAGGGGGCCCCAAGCAGTGGCCACCCAGACACATGCACCATGAGCTTGGAGCAGCTGCTGCCTGGGCATAAAGGAGTCCTGATAATGCCACCCACAAGAGCTGACTTGTGGTCACTCCAGACATGGAAATACAGGAGAGACTGGGCAGCTACAGCCACAGAAGCCCAGAGGGAAGGTGGGTACTGCAGTGTGGTCCAGGGCTCTGAGCCCTTGCTGCCCTCACTGACTGCACAGAAGACTCAAGGCAGGGACACATCCCTCTGTCCCTCTCCCGCACCCTGTATCTGCCCCTGGACCACATTGGCCCCTAACAGGTGAGAACCACAAGAAGAGGCCCAGGACTCTCCAGGGAAGGTCAGAGCATCAGCTGACCCAGTCTTGGGTCCTTCTGCTGCCCATCAGGCACTGTCACACAAGTGTCCTCACATCTGCCCGATGTCCACCAGTTATTATAGCAGAGTTGTTGACACACTCAAAGGATAACATGGGTGCCCACTCGGGGTGCTCCCACTGAGTTCTGTGAATGGACAACACCTCAGAAGATGCAAACATGGCCAAGGTCAGCAGCCCCTCCTACCATTTCCAGTTCAGTCTCAGGGTGAGAAAATGTATCGAGTTCATCAGGGCCATCCAAGGAGTCTGACTGTTACTAAGAGGATGTCAAAGCCAGCACTTGACAGTGGCTTGTAATGCCTGAAGCACCACTTTGAGTCCCAGCTACTCCATTTCCCATCCAGCTCCCTGCTGGTGGTCTGGGAAGGCAGCGGAATTTGGCCCAGGTCCTTAGGCCCCTGCACTCACGTGTGAGACCCAGACTAAATCAAGTTCCTGGCTTTGACCTGGCCCAATCAACTGGAGAGTAAATAGCAGGTGGTAAGTCCTCTCCCACCTGAAGCCCCTTGTCACTTTGCCTAGCAATAATAAAAAATATTTAGAAAAAAGAAAGTCACCACATCCAAGATGTGATGCCTCTGCCACATCCCAAGTGCTCAGCATGGCCACCCGTGATGTACAGGGCAGTGTGGACACTGACCATGTCCACCCACTGGACATGTGGGACAACCTGGGGTCTGAGATTCGCAGTGGCCCACACTGGGACTTTTGCATACTCTCTGCTCCTATCTGCAGAGTTATACATGGAACCACTTTGTGGCCTCAGTGAGGGTTCCCGGCACCAACCCCCACCCGTCCCAGTCCCCCAGAATGCTTCCAGCTCAATCTCAGCTGCAGGGCAATGACCAGTCACACAAGGGCCAGGACCAGGGCTGTATCTGGCTAGGGTAGGCTCTTTGGCCCTCAGCCTGGGAGCACCATGGCAAGGGTCCGGGCCATGCCACATCCACCCACAAGTCAGTACAGGGGATTTCTGAGAGTATCCACACCAGGGAGCGGCCAGGCACCCCCATCCACTATAGAACAGGCTTAACTGCAGTTGTCTCAGCTGCTCCATCCTCAAGTCGGCCCTGCAGAGCACCCACAGGACATCCCATAAGGCATAGAGGAGACACCCCCAACCTTGCTAGCTACCGACACACAGACTCTGGAGCCAGCAAAGGGCACTCCAAGGCAGTGGCCACCAGATGCAGCTGGGATATTCTGGTATGTTCTGGAGCCCCAGACAATCTGGGCTGAACTGGAGACCAACACCATGAAATGAGAATGTGCCTGGGACACAGCACCATCCAACATGGGGGGAGGAGGGAAGGGAGGCTGCATCACCCCCTCCAGGCTTTGCAGCGTGTGCCCTGGGAATCCAGTTCTGCCCACACACATCCCTCCTTGCCACATTCGGTTATTCACGCTTAGCCTGAGTCCTGCCCCAGCCCCCCAAGACAGGGAGGCTAGGCCAGGCCTGGCACTCCTGGCAAAGTCTGGGGTCACGGAGGGTCCCAGGGGTAGCAGGGCAGGAGCAGCCACACCAGGCCCTGCTGGGAAGAGGTTCTCATGGGTCGGGAGGGGAGTGGGAGGGAAGATCTGGAATTCAGCCCTGACCAGGCCAAGGTGGACATATCAGATCCAGGAGGACCCTCTCAGTGGACAGACAGCTGAGGTGGGAGGGAGCATGGGGGGAGTGGGCAAGAAAGCTGGACATCCCAGGGTCAGGCCAGGCAGCAGGGCTGGAGGGCAAGTGCTGGGACCCAGGCAGAGTACACCTGCCCCTGGCCACAGTTCCTGGGAGCATCAGCCCACATGGTACAGACACCTCTACTCCCGGCTCCCCTCAGCCCCAAGTGGTACAGACCCCTCAGCCCACGGCTCCCCTCATCCCCACACGGTTGGCCCCTCCCAGCTCCCCTCACGTCAGTGAACACCTGTCCCGGCTTCCCCCCGCCCCCCGCGTTGGCAATCCATTACCGCCTCCTTGAGGAAACCACCCTGGTCTTGGTCCGCACTGGGAGAGAATTCCAGCTCCCTGCAGCAAATGGAACCCATCTGCTTGGCGCTGGCAGGAAAATCCTTTCATGGAGTCAGCCCTCCGTCCTTCGTCCACAGGGAGGCAGGTGAAAGCGGCACAAGCCGGCGTGGCCGGGGCAGCCTGGTTGGGCCGAGCGTCCTGAGGCGTGTCTCAAGCCTGGGCGGGACTCCGAGAGGGCGAGGCCGGGGGCGGAGCGCGGGGACTGGGAGGGGCTCTGAGGGGTGGGGCTGGGGAATGGGCGGGGCTCCGAGAGGGCGGAACTCGGGGTGGGCGGGACTCCGAGAGGGCGGGGCTCGTGGGATGGGCGGGGCGCTGGGAGTGGGCGGGCTCCTGCTAACAGCGCTTGGGCGGGAGCCAAGGGGATCACACGCACTTCACGTGGTCCCAGAATGTCCTGCTAATGCGCTCCGTGAGCCTTGCGTGTCACTGTGACGCCCCAGCAGCTCCCTCTGGAGCCTGACGGGAACTGCACACGTTCATACCTGAGTTCCCGTCCCACCTCGCGGGTTCTGAGGCTCCGTTGGGTGACTGTGAACTTCCAATCCTGGAGACCAGGCCCCTTGGAGCCCCTGGGCTGTTTGGCGTTCCCAGGTTTGGGTGCTCTGACCGCGCCAAACGCTTGCAGGCCTGGCGGGAAAACGCGCAAGCAAAGCCAGTTTCACCTATGCTTAGCACAGGCGGCAGGTGGGGAATGGCAGGACCCTGTGCCCAGCGAGACCATGGCAGCTTCGAGGCAGGTGGGGGACTGGTGAGGGAGGAGGTTGGGGTAGGAGGAGGGTCCATCTGGATCTGGTACAATATGTTTTCTTTTTTGTTTTTTTCATTTTTTATTCTATTTCTGACAGTCTTAACATAGTTAATTAGGGTAAAAAGGCTCAAGGGCTACAGGAAAATGGGTAAGACTATTAGTTCCATATGGTTTCCTTCATCTACCTGAGGTGAAAGGGGAGGTAAAGGGAGAAGCCCCACCCTGTCTCCCACGCACCCCAGGTCCCTGACGTGGGGCATGTTCCGAGGGTATTATTGCTCAAGCGGTTTTGATAGTTCAACAGTCCTGAATTGTTGCTGATCTCGCCACTCCAAGCGCGATGAGGTCGATGAGGTTGTTGAAGAATCCACTGATTGACATGGTCCATCATAGAGTCTCCCTTTGCCCAATTTTTCACTGCCAACATATAGCTGAGGTGATTGACTTGTTCTGTCCTCTGTCTTTTCATGGTTAGGGTTCTGAGTTCGGCAATTCAATTGGGGGGATCCCCAAAGAAACTTTGAAGTGTTCCCAGACCCGATTCTTGTATGTACTAGCAAATACAGGGCCCACCACAGTCCATCGTCGCAATCAGCTGGTGGTTGCAATGGCTGGGTTGGTTCTGTTTCTAGCCCTGTCTTCCACTGGAACCAGTGGGTGTTACAGTCCAGCATGATTCTGCCCAGCACACACCCGGCCCTCACATAAACCAATGGGAGCTGCAGCCTAAGTCGGAGTAACCTACAATAACCCCCACCAGGCCCGCCCCCTACCCTGATTTGCCAGTATGTGTAGCAGACTACTCCAGTCTGTCCCACACCCCATTCAGTTCTCATACATGTCAATAGGCATTGAAGCCTACTTTAACTCAAGCAGCCCAACTATCCAGACCATATACATGCCGTTGGTGCCTTTTTGTCTAGTCACCCCAGCCCGTTATGGTTTTCGTGCCCTCCAGTGGGAATGGTAACCCAAGAGGGAGGAGCCCACTATTTCCCTTCTAGGCCGCTCCCACATTATGCATTCTCCAGGTGGTTCTGTGATTTAACTTGACAGAATTAGCCCCCAGTGCCAGCTTCTCCAGCTGATACTGTGGCTAAGCCCAAACCAACACTCACCCACTCTAATTGTAGTTTGTACCAGTAGGAACAATCAGCCCAGCCTGTTTTTTCCCTGATCTGGTCCATATGAGGTACACAGGTGTTGTAGCCCTGCCTAGTCTGGTCTGTCCCCATCCCAGCTCACGCTCTCCAGTGGGAGTAGCTGGCCAGCAAAGGGAACCCCCCCATATTCCCCTGGCTCCGCCCCCTCCCTTCCTCACGTGGTTCTCACGTGTGCTGTTGGGCACTGCGGACACATCCGGTACAGGCAACCTCACCTTGGCATTCCGTAATGTGCACTGGTTTTTTGTCGTGACTGAACCTGGCTCGACCCACACTCTGTACCAGTGCTCAGATTTGCCAGTGGGTGACGTGAACTGATTCAACCTGGTTTGTCCCCGACCCATGCCAAATGTATGCCAGTGGGACACTTTCCATGGCCTTTTCTGGGCTGTTTCCTATCATGCTTCTTGCGCTTACCTGCAGGGTCTGTGTCCTGCCAGAGAAGTTGCCCAGGCTCCTCCATCAGAATCCCTCCCAATACCAGATTTTGTGCATACCAGGGGGTCCATGAGCCAGCCCTACTCAGTTCACCTCCTGTCTTAGCAGGAACAGTGACTTTTCTTGACTGGCCTTCAACCCAATCTGGTTCTTGCTGTTGG